ATAAATTTAAGCAGCTTTCTTTTATATGTATAGATCTAAAATTTTATAGTAGCAGCAACGGACAAGTGGCAGATTAGAAAGTTCTTAGATGCTTGAAAATATTTTTATCTAAAGAGACGTTTAATTTCGTCATACTGATCGCTTTTTGGGAGTATACACTTTTTATGGGCCGTTAATATTGGTAAAGACCTTAAACAAAGAAGAGACATCAATCAGTAATGGGAGATATGTTTTGAACGGCAACCTGAACTCCCAACTCTCAAGCCAACTTGCGTCATTGGCTAGAGACAGCTCGACTGAGTTTTGGTCTTATTAGGAGATTTTTTTCTTGCTATAGCCAGTGATAGCTTTCTGAACTTTACCTCAAATCCGCAATGGTGATAAATATTTATCTGTTTACTTAGTTTTAATATCAGCTTTTTGGGCTACTTTGTCCAAGGAGGTCTTGACAATTCCATCGAAGGCTTATTTGAGTATATTTCATAAATTCCAAAACTACTTGCTTTCAATTTTGATTCACAATTCTCAACCGATTCCCCGGTTCTGGAGACATACTGCCTTATCATGAGTTTCGCCCGAAAAGAAATGAAATGTGAACCGGTTCGGGGAAAATTAAATTCATAAAAAAACATCTTCCTATTGGATCCCTTTGAAAAACTTTTACACTTTTAATGAATTTGAAATTGTTTTGATCTTCCTATCTGCGGAGGGAGGAAATATAGATCAAAAGCATGATTCGATAAAAGAAAGGTTTACTCAGAAAACAGCATTCTCGCTCCCTCTTGACAAAAGTATGTGTGCAAAGCTTTTGTAAGGGAGTTAATGGAGTGTCAAAACTCTAATGTCACTAGTGAGCATACCTTTTATTAGTGAAACATGGATCAAAAGAACCCTCAAGTAGATATTTGAAAAAAATAAAATTTTTATGTTGCTTAAAATGCGAACAATAAATTTATTTATAATAAGTGTGTAGTCCATAATACTAGCAGCACACCCTTATGTGCATATTGAGCTTGTCGCCATACCGAGTGGTTTATTGTCTCATTTGATGCTAGATTATAGGCATCTTTGTATGTACATATGTATGAAGTAACAGCAACAAAACTAGAATAAAAACAAAAAACCCACACAATTTTATGTTCCCCCATCAACAAAATATCACAACAAAATGCATACAAAAGCGAAACTGGAGTCGAGATAAAAACTTTGGAATTTGTGGTCAGCCACGCTCGCCAAGGCAAAGTTAAAATGACAGTTGATTGCAGGCCAAGTTAAAAGCATATGTTGGATGAAGTTGCATGTGTGGGTGCATTGTTGCCATTGAAAAGCCAAATGCATACATATGTGCATATGTATGTGTATGTGCACTTTAAACAATAGTGCAGGGCAGTGCTGCTAAATGTCTCAATTTTCGACGCACATGTATGTGTGTATGTACATATGTATGAATATGTGTGCATTTTCACATTGATTTGCAGATTTTGAGATTTTAATTGATTTTCGCACAAGAATTCGTGCCACTTGCGGCTGAAAAGTGGCATTTGATGTTGTTGCAGTTGGCGAAACGTGTCTCCAAAGGTGTATACGACTATGTATGCAAGTATAAGTATGAATGGACATATGTAGGTAAGTATTTTTCTGTACACGTCTATGTGTATGTGCGTATATGCTATATAATATAGACGATAATCTATTCAAGTCAATTTAATTGAAATTTCAATAGAAGCTATGTATTCTCAAAAACTCCTTTAAAATTTTAAATTGGTTTTGCTTCGGTAGTTTTGACAATATTTTAAATAAGCGGCCCAACCTACATTTACAAGCACACAAACATATGTACTTACATAATCGCATGTGTGTTTATTGTAAGCAAATACTATAAAAATAGAAACCACAGTTAGTCTATTTTGGGCATTATTAACAATGTTGCATTTTGTTTTCAACTTGCTCTTTGCAGGCCTAAAATAAATACAAAAATGCGCCTTGATTTTAAAAGTGTGAAAATTTTAAATCAAATTATCTAATAACTAAATACCAACATATATGTATGTATGTGTTTATGTAAGTACATGTCGGAAGAGGTTTCGTAAGAAGATTAGTAGGCGTGAGAGTAGAAATGCTTTTGGTTAACTTGATACCTCACAATACATATGTAGATATGTATGTGTACAAATATGCATTGCGTTATTTGGATTTTATGGCATGAAAATTATTTTAAAATGTAGTATACAAAAAATATATTTTTGCAGCCATGCATACTATTACAGATATAATAAAGTATTTTTTGTTTAGATTTATTATGTTTCTTTTTTTCTTTAGGAAATTATCGGGTTTTCTTTGAATAAAATAAAATTAGATGTTACTAAAAAAATAATACAGTATGCGTATGAAGATGAAGATCAGAAATGAAGATGAAGACGAAGACGAAAATCAAGGCGAAAATGAAGATGAATTTAAAGGCAAAGATAAAGATGAAGATAATGACGAAGATGAAGATGAAAATCAAGATCAAGATCCAGATGATGGTAAAAACGAAGATGGAGACGGAGGTGAAGATTCTTTCGTGCACGCGTGTGGTGTAAGCGCACTTAGTTTATTTTGTCTTATTCCAAGTTGATTATTTAAATAAGCAAAGAGTAATAATTTGTGATTAATAAATGGGATTCTGCTTCTTCGTCTTCGTCTTTGGGTTTGTAAACGCCTAAGTGATTTTGGCCGAGTTCAACAAAGCACGCCAGTAGCTCCTTTTCTGTACCAACTGACGTCAATTGGAAATGCCAAGTGAAGCCAAGTCTTTCTCCAGTTTGTCTTTCCATCGCAGTGGGGGCCTCCGTCTTCCTGTGCTACCATCAGTGGGTTTCGAGTTGAATACTTTCAGAGCTGCAACGCCGGTGTCCATTCGAACGACATGGCCAAGCCAGCGGAGTCGACGTATTTTAATAAGCTGCATTATGTCCATGTCGTTGTAAAGCTCACATAGCTCATCGTTCAATCATCTGCGGTGCTCGCCGTCGCCAACGAGTAAATACCCGTAAATCTTTCGCAAAATCTTTATCTAAAATTTGTCCATTTAATAAGGATAATATTATAATTATTTTGGCGCAATAGCCCACTCTAAAAACTGGATGTCATTAGTAGATTTCTTACTACCGAACAAAATTAAACTAATGGTGATTTCGTTCCAACCAAAAATGACGCCTCTTGATTGCCACTTTCTCTTTTCGTGTTTGATTCTAAATTAAAGGCAAAGGGTGAGAACATATTGTGTTTGTTTCGTAAAATGTCACATTCCTGTAAGGCAAAAAAAGGCGAGAACGAAATATGACACTGAAGATGGCACAACGCCGAAACCGGTTTGTCTCCAAACCAAATTTGACAAGGGATGACGGAAAATCGTTCCACATTACATCAAAAAAAGGCACATTCTCTGCCATGTGAAGCTGTGAATTTTTTTATATCAAAAAATTGTTCAAAAGAAAAAATTTCTATAATTACGAAATTACTAAATAGCAAGA